CCCCTGCAGCTGAAGCAGGAGGAACGTGCTGAGGTGACCAAGGCAAACTGCAGGGTGCTTAAGTCTATCTGCACTGTGGGTCTGCTCCCTACCATTGCTCCTGGTTTTCTTTCTGGGTGTGCTTGGGCAGGGCGCTGGTGTGAGGAACGATGTGAGCAGTCAGCAAATGAAGCTTTTGAGGCTTTGCTGAGGTGCAGTGTAGGCAATGAGAAGTAGAAAAGTTTTGATCCAAAACTCTACTGCTGCTCAGTTGCAGTGGGCAGCAAGAGAGGACAATGTCTTCATCCACTTTTTTTTTTCACGTACCCAGCCAAGCTCTCCTGACTTCCTCTCTTCCATGTCTCTGCCTTTGCTCTCTGCTCACCACCCATATTCATCTCTCTCCTTCCATCTTTTCATAGCAAGGATGCGCTGTGAATCATGGCTCTGGCTCAGTGGCCCATTGTCGAGCCTGCCTGCTGAAATGTATTACAGATAGGAGCAAATACAGCTAAGAGCAGGACTGAGGTGGATCTGCCTGGATTTATTTCTCTCTTCTGTGTCGTGCTTTCTATTTCTTCTGTACCACAACTGCCTGAATCCAGCCAATTTTTAATGGGTAGACATCAGTGAGCCAGGGTTGCTCCATGAATCAGAGGGAGCTGAAATTCTGCAACACCAAAGACCGTTTTCAAAAGCAATCTCGCGGGCCATTTTTCCCCCTTCTAATTACAAGTGCTGTGTAGCCACATTCCTGCATGCAGCATGCCTAAGACATATCGCCAAGGCTCGCACAGCAGCCAGCCCCTCAATCTCACTGTGTCCTGCACCTCTGCAAGCAGAGGAAAAATGTCACCTTTATTTGATGCTTTCTTTCTTCCTAGGGATATTCTGGTGTGTCTCTGTATTGAACAGCTCAAAAGAGCCCATGTTCTTGAAAATTGAAGCTCCTAACTATTTTGTCTTCGTACAAAGTGGTTTGGGACAGGAACTACAAATATTGTATGCTGTTAAAATGAGGGAAAATCAGAAGGTTATCAGCCACATTCAGAAACTGCCCGGGGTTGTTTCTTTATGCCTTGGAGAAGGATACTGGGAGAACATAATTTTCTAATTTTACATCACACATGAGAAAAAGATGACCCTTCTTTAAAGAAATGGGACTAAAAAATTTGAGTACTATTATCTGTGTTTGCCTCAGCAGCTTTGTATCTCAACATTGGCCATGCCTGGGGAACATGGGCAGGAGGTCGGCACCAGAGGAGTGCTTACTGACACTCTCATTAAATAACACAGACAAATTGTAGTAATTTGAAAAAACCAGCACAACCAGCAATTAGAGTCATTGGTAGGAAACTGCAAAGCAGCCGCATATGGACAAAAACTTTTACGTCACTGGAGACGGGAGTTCACATAACTCTATTCTTCAGCACAGATGCAATGAAAGGTTTGAGCTATTTTCATGTGGCAGCAAATTGGGGGCATTTACTGCATGAACCACAATAACTGGCTCCTATTACCCAGTTTATGGGGTGAGCTTCTGCATGCTCATTCAAATTCATCTGCTTGGCAAACTGGGAGTATTCACTGGTTCATGAATCTCCAGATCCATGAATGCAACCAGCTGGGATGTCTGTGGGCTTGGGTTCTTTTTTTCCTTTTGTCTTTATTTTGCCTTTTTTAGCTGCAGACATTAGTTTAGTAAAGCATGAACAGAGGCACAATACTAGTCACTACTATGGAGCTATAAATTATTTCTCAGAATGCCCCTGGAAACAGGGCATGCCAAATTGCTTTACAGGGCACTTGTGATAACAGTACTGAAGCAAATGACATTTAAATAAAATTTCCTTCCAACGTAAGTGAGGAATAAGGGAAAGCATAAAACAGGTAATTAACACTTCCTGGATGACTTCAGCTCTGTGCATGGAAGGACAACAGCGGAGCAAATAGTCGGATGGAAGGGTCTGGTTTTTGCTAGTAATAGTAAAACTTAATTTCTGCTTTAAGGAAAGATCAAAATCATATTAAACTGAATGCCAACTGGTTTCAACGGGGCTTAAATTGATTTCTGGAAAATAATGCTAGTGAAAAGTGCCGGGGAATGTCCATTGAGACTGACATCTTCACAACCAACATAGCTGAGTGGGGACGAGAATTTCTTCTCTGAAATAACTTTACAGATATTTATATTACAAAGTGGGATGAAAACTGCTGTCTTCTAAGCACGGAGAAATCTTTGGTTGCTTTACAAATATTTAAATAGTTTCTTCATTTCTGACTTTTGAAACCATTTTCTTAAGGCTCCCCAGCTTTCCTGGAGCCCAGGATCTTGCGAGGGGAGCTGAGGAGGTGATTTGGGCCGTGGCACCAGGGCTTCTGGCCTCCTGCTTAACCATCACCTCACACTCTGGCAGAACCAGCTCCGCTACAGTCTCCTGGACACACTGAGGGTTTCCAACACTAGGAAATGCTGGGAGCCTGGACCCACAGACTGGTGTTTGGAGCTAGTTCTCCCAGGACCAACAGGCTTCCAATGAGCAGCATGGTCTGCCAAGGAGACAGAAAACCGTAACCCCTTGAAAATACGGCTGTGGAGCTGTTTTTTTTGCAGGGGAATTTTCTGTCCTGTTGCTCCAGCTTGCTGCAACAGAAAATAAAGCTGTTTTCCATTAGAATTTCTGCAACATCTGCATGTTCCTGCAGTGTGTTTCGGAGTGGAAGAAATGACCTTTTTCACTGAAGAAATAATCTGTTGGAAAATTCCCAGCTAGTGCTAACATTTGCAAATTCTGTACATGAAGAGCATCAGGGTGGAGCTTCCTTAATGAACTCCTTTCCTGGTATGTGGATATTAGCAGTCGTGTGGACACCTATCAGACAGGTTCTCCACTAGTACTGGCTGTCACGTTGCCTACAGACCACCAAACATCAGAAAATAATGAATTTTGAACCTTACTGACTCAAGCTGATTTAGCGGTAATAGAGTATAAGCTATAATAGAGTATCCAACAGCTGTTGGATAAAGACAAGATATTTAAATATCTGTTCTTTACTAAGGTCCATCCTTCCAAGCAGTCACAGAATGGTTATTAAGGAAGTGTTCTATTCCCTCAAAAGCAAAAGCAACAAGACATTTAATATTCTTTCTTACTAATATCATGTCCCCTAACAGGCAAATACAGACAGTTTTTATTAAAGAAATCCCCTGATTTAGTAGAAACAAGATGAGTAAGGGAGATCAGAGATATCTCTGAGCTCGTCTCTTAAGAAAAACTTCAAAGAAAACTTTTTTTTTTTTTCTTAATTCCAGAACTATTTACATCACATGTATATTTGTAGGTTACTCATTTCCTATGTAACTTATATCCTATTAAATAACACATCTTCCTTTGGTTTACATTGTACCCACATCACTCCCTGCCATGCAACATCACCAGACTCACAGCATTGCTAAACATTAGCATTGCAAATACCTTGGAAAACCCAGTTGTACTTCACTGGAGTCTCATAAGGAGATTTGATGTAAAAATCCTTATTACACTGCATATTCAACATGTTAATACTCTCTAAGGCTAATTGTTCTTCTTCCTCTATTAGTGGGAACAACATGCCCAGACTTGTGTTAAAGAAGAGCCAGAACATGTTATTTAACTCTTATGCCTAGAGTCTTTATTTATTTATTTTTATTTTTTTAATCTTAGATGGAAATTAGTACACACAAAATCCTTGAGTCAGGACATGACCAAAGCGCATCTGTCTGAGGTTCTACCAGTCTTACAGCAAAGATTTGGCTATGTGAGTGGATTGGCTGGTCTCTGGCACATGTCCCTGACAGATCCAGCTCTTCCCCAGGCTGGCTCTGGCTGGAGTTTTGTGGACATACAGAAACCTCTGTATCCCTCACCAGGAAGATCTGCAGAGCATGGAGTCAGCCAGACAGAGTGCAATAACAGCAGGGATTCAAGTACCAGCTTCTCTTTTCTCATGGCATTGACTTCTCTTTGTATTTCTGAATCAAAACGTCTCATCCTGTACAGGTGGCTTCCTCTTTCTCCTGGAGTGCCCTGTATGGAAGACTGGGAGGACTGGTCCTTGGCCATTCAATGTCTATGGCTGCAATTGACCTTTCAGTTCAACAGTGGGGTGAAAAAGGAATATCAAGGACCTTGAAATGTGTTTAATGTCAACTAACACAGTGTGGGCTGTGAGGATGCAGAGCTCCTTTGAGTGCATCTGTGTTCCCAGTCTGTCAAGCCAGAGCTTTCACGTGAGATCTTCCGGCCTGGCTGACACCCTGGCAGTGGGGTAGCACTAATTCAGCCTGGAAGAGTTATGGTGTCATTGTACATTCAGCAGTTATTGGGATAACACAGTTAAAAGGGTAAGGCAAGCCAGAAAGAGAGCTCCCTGTGGCCTTTCAAACATCAGACCTGCTGCACATGACTGCCCTTCTGCTAAATAAAAGGAGTTAATGAATACCCAAAGAATGAGACAATTTCCTGGCATTGATGAGGGTTTCTGTCTGCAAAGCTGCTCTTTGAATTAGAGATCCAGACCCTGGTGTGATAGAAAACCTGTCAGCTGCCTTTGCTCTTCTGGACAGGGGCAGCTGAGGATATCCTCAGCTTCCAGGTAAAGCAAAGAGGAAAAAAAAATAATGTGGAAGAAAGAGCTGTGTTTGGAGACACTGCACCTGGAAACCTGCCCTGCCCTGGCACAGTGTGCCTGGGGCATTGCCTGCCTCCTAAGGTCCGTCTGCATGACCACAATGTCATTCTGGCACACAGGTGTGATGCTGCCTCCTGGTACCTGCCCAGAGACAGCTGAAATGAGCAGGTATCATTTGTCTCCATTCATGTTCAAGCAAATCCCACCTGCAAAACAAACGACCTGGAGTGGCTGCTCAAACCCACTCAGCACCATCTCCTCCCAGACGTCCTGGCCTAGAGCTTGAGCCCCACCGGCCGCCTGGTTGTCCCCAGCTGCTGCTCTGCCCTCAGAGTCTGACATAGCACATGGCATTGCTAGATTTCTGTGCAGGCTGAGGAGTTTGGGGCTTGCAGCCATGGAGAAGTGCACTGAGGACACACGGGACAAAGGAGCTGCTGAGGGAGGGGATGCTCCTGCAGCCTGCTCAGCAATAAATATCAGAGAAGAGAGGTGGCTGCTGTTCATGGGAAAGAGAAAGCTTCGTGAGGGAGAGATGATTTAAGCTACAGTACAAGAACAAACTGGCTAAGTATAAATTTTGTTTGCAAATGAGGAGATTCCTTGATATATGATGAGGGAAGCTCTTTAACAGCCTCCCCGGGGGAGCAAGGGAAAAGCCACTGCTTTTAAGACAGGCTTTAATAAGCTGGTGTGATAGGAATCAGAAGAAAGAGGGCTTGACAGCAAAGGAGATTCCTTCAGTCCCTTTCTTACTACATTTGTATCTCTGTCCCTTCTCTTGATACTCCAGTAATGAGCTTCTCTTCATTTAATTATGTTATTAATTAGCATGATAACTGTGAAAGCTGGTGCACTGCTTTGGCTGTGTCGCTGGCCCCACCACCCTCTGCTGTGCACCCTGGGCAGCTAATGGATTTCCCTCCGTGGCTTATGTGTCTGAATGACATTTCTAGTAAGTAAAGTAAAATAATATTCAGGTTAATCCCAGGATCTTTTGTGCTCTTTAGACTCTGAAGTGGTTGTGTTGCGGGGAAGTGTTTGAAGGATTGCATACAGACAGGAGGAATTGAAGGGGAGATGGGAAGACTGATGGAAATGCAAATGAACATGTGTAGCATGCAGCACATGTCAGGGAAAATACACTTGATACAACCCATAGGCAGTTCTTGATTAACTTTCTGGGTTAGTGTGGCTGGCTCCTTGTTGCAACAGCCGTGGACACCCTGTACTTCAGAAGCTGGTGCAAAGAACTGACCCAGGAGGGAGCAGCCCTGCTCGGCAGTCAGCTGCAGATAGTGAGGGGCTTGTGAGGAGTCACATCGTGGTAAGCTTTCCATCAGTGGGATCATGATGTTGAATGAACCTTCTTGCTGAGAGCACTGGGATTGGCAGAAGATATGAAACGACATGAGCATGTTGTGGAGATGCATGGGCATCCTGGTGAGTAATGCTACCAGTGAGCCACCTAGCACGAAAAGCAGCAGCTCTGTGGAGGGCTGTGATGACCCAGATGAATTGAATACACCAGTTGGCATGCCCTGGGCTTCAAGACACCTGTAAATCACAACAAAAAATAACTTGTTTCTTCCATCTTGCTTTAGGCCAGTTTTGGGCTGGATGCCTTATCCAAGGCCCCTTTCTGTTCCTGTAAATAGAGCTGCACGGGTAAAAGAGTCACACTGGATTGTCCTTACCAGCCACTTGCATTTGCTGTTAATTCTCTGGAAGAAATGCTCCCTCCTGCCTCACCCAGGCTAGGATCCCTGCCTAGAAAAATGGCTTTCTCCTGAGCATTTGTTATATGCAGCTGTGTGAAACTCTCAGCCTGTTCAATTAAAGAGCCCGTTTTCCCATTAACTGTCTCCTTAGACAAATGTGAAGTGTATTTAATGTTCACTCAGGATGAAGCCAACATGTTTCTCCTGCTGTTTTACACTTTCTTCTTAGTAGGGATTTGTCGTCTCTGACTGTTCAAATACCTTGAAGTTCCCCAGCATTTACCATCAGGAAAAGGTAACAAGAGTGGTGACAAAGAGTGAGTGCCAGATGAGCCTGGGAAAATGGATGGTGTTAATAGATGTAACTGAGGCCCCTCTGCACCCTGCCTAACGCGGAGCAGCCACCCCATCCATCACGCTCACTCCGGTGGAGTAGCAGCACACCATCCAAGCCTTAGCAGACCTTTTCTCCACTCCTGCTCTCAGAAAAAGTGCTGGATCAGATCCCTCACCTCTCCTGATGGTCTGAAGAGAGGCACTTTAAAAAGGAGAGAATCAGCAACAGAGCCTCTACCTCAGCTCAGCGTTTTTTATTAACATGCCTGGAGAATCAGCTTCTTCCTGTCATAGGTACCTTGCTGCACATTAATATATTAACTGATAAACGATCTCCTGAGCCTATATTATGCTTTTTTTTTCTTGTTTCTTCATCACTGTTTTTCTATGAATCAAGTAGCTGTGAAAATTGATGTAGATTCTCACCTGTATGAAAATACTTTGGCCGAAATATGAGTCTCACATTGGGCTGATGTATTAATCCTTCTCTCCTGGACAGCAATAATCACTCTCTGTTGTTTTTCAAGCTGTAATTCAGCACTTCTGCACTTGCCACTTGTGGCCTTTCAGCAGGTTTGGTGTGGGCCTCAAAATGGAGCAAGAGAAGGGAGGGAGGAGGAGGACTGAGCTCCTTTGGGCCTGATCCTGGTCTTACCTACATCACCAAGGTGTACAAGTGACTTGGCATCAGTTGCTCAAGCAAAAGCAGAGTCAGACTCCGCAGCAGCTCTGTCCTCTGGCTTCTTGGCTGTGACCAAGGCTCCTGGATGCTTTGGATTAGCAGTGAATAATAACCAAGGGAATTGCAGGCAGCTGGTGAGATGTAAATTGGAGCATTCCAGTCTTTGCCTCATTCTGGCCTCAAGGCATTGTTCCTGCTCCCGGGGCCTGCCAGGCACAGGGAGCTCCCCGCCACGCTGTACTTTCCCCATGCAATCCCTTTGCTGTGGGATGGGGCAGCTTTGAACTGACAAGAGAGCTATGCTGGAAGCACTTGGACGCTTTGTGCTTTGATATCAGGTCCCTGCTCTTCAGTAAAATAAGACTTGATTTATCCCTGTGGATAAATATCTTCAGCTCAGAAGGACTCCATCACTGTCAAGAGTGAGGCACTTCCCCAACAAGTGGCAATAAAAACCTTTATAGCACTTGCTCAGCATGACAAATCCTCTTCATCCTCCTCCAGTGGTGGCTTTATTGCCTCATCCCCGTGGGGGCTGTTCCTGTCAGGCTGATAGTGCTGCTGGGGTTACTGGGGATGGAGTGTCAGTGTCTCTGTCCCGGGCAATGGCCACGAGGTATGTCTCTGGTGTGTTGTGCACTGCTCTTCCCTGCTGGGCCATGGATCCAGATATCCTGAAGACTCGGCTCTAAGCAGTTCTGGTTTGAGCTAAAATGGAAATGTATCTGTTAATAATCAAGATGATGCCTTAAGGACGGACATCTGTTTTCTAAGGTTTCAGCCTGAAATACTAAGTTCCTGCTCCATCCTCCATGGATGTCATTAGCTGGATTCACATCCTACTAATCTTAGCACAGAAAAAAAAATTAGAGCTACAGCTCATGCCAGAGCGAGGGGACATTAATTCATTCTGTACCCCCAGATGTACAGCATCTGCTAATTCTTAGCTGCCCAAGAGGAAATTTCTGGCTACTGTTATCAGTGTCATAAACTTGCAGAAATGCCAGGAAGGCCCCTAGCTGTGAGAGCAGCTGAAAACCACCGAAAGTTACCCTGGAGAGAATGCCTGCTATTGTGTCTGGCCCTGAGAGCATGCAGAGCTGGTGGCTCTGGTGGCCCAGAGAAGGGAGGGAGATGTAGAACAGTTCTTGAAGATCTGCCATTAACAGGTTCATCTGGCTTCAATTCAGGCACTTGGTGCATTGGCAGTCTGAGCTGTGGGGTAAGCAACAAGAGGATAAGCAAGAACGCAGACACGTGCTGCAGTGGAGCAGGGGATCGAGGTGGGCAGAGCTGGGCCTGTTTGGCCTGGAAAAGAGAAAACTGAGGGGAGACCTCATCAATGTGTATAAATATCTGAGGGCAGGGTGTCGGGAGGATGGAGCTGATCTCTTCTCAGTTGTGCCCAGCAGCAGGATGAGAGGCAGCAGGCACAAGCCGAAGCACAGGAGGTTGCAGCTCAATGTGAGGGGGCACTTCTGTGCTGGGAGGGCTGGCAGAGTGCTGGGACAGGCTGCCCAGAGAGGTTGTGCAGTCTCCTTCTCTGGATATATTCAACCCCGCCTGGATGCCCTCCTGCACAGTGTGCTCTGGGTGATCCTGCCTGACAGGGAGATGCACTGGGTGATCTTCAGATTTCCCTTCCCACCTCGGCCATTCTGGGATTCTGTGATTAACAGGAAGCATCTGAGGGACAGCAAAGCTGAATGACATGCAGTTGAAGAGGTTTTGAAAACATGGGGTTGCCAATACTGTGAGCACGGAGGACACAGATCACCTGAGAGAGGTGCAGCAGGAGGGGGCAAGGTGTGCAGGCCTGGGTGCAGGGCAGTCTGAATCATCCGGTACAACACCCTCCTGCCACCCATGGCATGGGGCTTCCTCTGAGCCTATCTTCCTTCCTTCCTTCCTTCCTTCCTTCCTTCCTTCCTTCCTTCCTTCCTTCCTTCCTTCCTTCCTTCCTTCCTTCCTTCCTTCCTTCCTTCCTTCCTTCCTTCCTTCCTTCCTCTTCCTTTCTTACTTTCTCTCTCTCTCTCTCATTTTTTATTTTTTTTTTGTAGAGCCGCCTTCTTCATACCCCCAAGGTCAGGACCCTGGGGACACTAGCTTTTGCACAAGCCCTGCTCTTCATGCCTGTGCCCCCAGCAAAGGCTTTGTGCTGAAGCTGATGAGGAGGGACAGCCATCCCCAGGGAGATGCAGAAGGTGGCTGTGGCGCTTGTGCCTTCAGCACATGGGAGCTGGGAGCATCCTCCATCTTCTGCCCTCACACTAGCAGCAGGCATCCGGAGGGGGAATCACATCCAGTCCACCACCATCCTGCTTTCACCCTGGCTCTTCCATCACTTCTCTTGTTTCACAACAACTAAATGAGCATTACCAGCCCCTGTCCTCTTTTGTTGTTGTTGTTATTTTTTCATATTTCCCCTGCAGAAATGTAAATAACTGTGATTTTACCTTTTCTGGGGGCTCACTTGAACAGGACACCTTGAGATACAGCAGAGGCTTGTTGCTTCCCACCCACTCCTCCATCCTGTCCATGCGAGGGTCCCAGCAATACTCAGAACAGGCAGGCTGGGAAGATTCATTCACCCATTGCAGCCTTGCTGCTCTTTTACAGCAGTCCCAGCCCTCTCCATAAGCAAGCTGGAGGTCTTCCCTCACCTCACCTTTCTTTCCCATTGGCTTTTTGGCTTCTGCATTTCTTTGCCTGCTGGCTTAGTGTATGATGTAGTTGTTTGAGATATCCTACTACTCTACCAAATTTTACAGCATCTCTTGAGCTTTAGCATGACTTCTTTGCTGTAATAAAGTTTTATCCTTCTGCCTGCAAAGACCTATTTAGATTATGATAAAATCCACTTTGCTTAGATACCAGGTTACACTGCGGAAGACTTCAGCATCTTCCAGCAGATATCTCAGTACTTTTTACCTTCAAGACACAGGGTTTCCCTTACCCATTTTCCCTCTGAATTGCCACCAACATTGGGTTAGTCCAATATCAGAGAGGGTCTAATTAACACTAGTTACTTTTGCTGAAATTGCTATCTTAGAAATTATTGTGGAAAACTACAGATGTTCCTGAGCAGGAACCAAGATAGAACTAATGTATCTTTTGTTACTAGCCTCAATGCAGTGGTTTTCCATCAAGATGTCAGCCTGTTTTTTTGTTTATTCATTTGCCTTTAATGTGGTCTGGAGTCACAGGGCAACAAAAAATGTTCAGACAGTCTTCCTCTTCCACTGAGATTTTTTAGTCACCTACTGCACATACTCATTTCTCAAGCATTTCTTTACTCATATTTTGAAAACATATCAAGGTTCGTAATCTTATTGGCTAATCAAACCATCACTTACATCAAGTTTCTATTGGCATTTACCTTATTTTAATTTTTATATTATCATCATAATATTTGGTTACTAACCAAAACCATTTCCTAGCAAACATCTCATACCCAACAACCTTCTTGTGTCTTTCTTTTGTTTTCCAGTTCTAGTCACTTCTTTTGGCCAATTCAATATTTCAGATATCTCATCATACCTAGTTCCCAACTGTCAAAGAAATTTCTCAAGCTTGAATGTTCTGTGCTAAGTCACCACCCAAACAGCTCTTCTTCTCCAGATCTCCTCCAGAGCAGGATCATGATGGCTAAACTGCATAAGAAGCTGGGCTCAGGACTGTGCTTCTCCTATCCTGAGAGTTTGGGCCTGAGTGCAGGCATGAGTCCCACCAACATGCTGGGTATGGTCTAGCACTGGCAGACCAATGGGACACGGATGCTCCTACAGACCACCATGGTCTTGTTTCCTCACCATGCTGAGCAGGCAGCTATGGAGCTCTGTCTGAGGAACCATTGGCAATGTTAAAACACAGCACATTCTCCATGTTCTCCAATTTCAACGCTCAAGACGAAAGGGGAATCATTTACACATTACTCCCCACTTCCCCAATGGGGCTTTCATTCCCTTGGAGCTTCTCTGTACCTTTTCCTTTAGCTCTAATAAACTGGCTGAATTTGAAATCATTTCTCCTTCTTACAGCCTATCTCAGCTTTCCACACCTTGTAGCTCTGCTATCAAGAGAGAGTTTCCTGGAAAAGGCTAGGAGTGAAATGAGAAATTCCCTCCCTGAAGCACATACGGACATCCTGCTGCTGCTCTGCAACCTGCCAAGGAAAAGAAGAGAAAACTACAGGCCAGGCATTGAGAAATTGCTGTCAGATGCCTGTTGCTCCATAATTATTTGCTGCAAGAGAGACTAACTAGTCACTGTCAAGTCAGGGAAGATGTTCCTTGAAGGCTTGATTTAATAGAAATGCAATTTGTCTCATGGGTCAGCAAAATAAGTTGAAGATGACCTACAATTTCATGTCCAGAGGGAGCTTTGAAACTTGTACAGGATGCACAGCTTCACATTTAATGGAGAATATAAACAAGAGGTAAATGCCATCAGCTACACACACCACCAGTCCTTTAATGTACCAAGTGTGATGAAAGCCCATGTTCCTGCTGAGCAGGGTTGTTCATACTGATGCACACCAGCCATGCACAAACCCCTGTGACCGTGTACTGAAATGTATGATCATGAAAGCAGTCAATATCCTGAGACAATTTTTTGGCACTATTTAGCCAAACATGTGTAAAACCTTTTTGATGCACTATATTAGAGAATTTCCCAGTAGATTAAGTACAACATAAGCAATGTTCCTTCAGAGTCAGGGTATAGGTTTGATTATAAAAAATATATTTTAGCCCCCATCCATACAGTGGTTGATATTACTTGTTGGAGTGAAAGGGAGCACATGAAATCTTAATTATTTTTGCAAGATCCAGAACAGACTTCTTCACAAGAAATTGCCAGATCAGTCTGGGACATTTTGTCCCATGGGGCTTTCTGCAGTTTCAAAAACACCAAATGGCCTTCTCTAAATCATGGCCAACATTCAAAATTATCAGCTTTCCTGAAACAGAAAGCTTTATTTAAATCTACGCAAATGTTTGCAAACACTTGATTGAATAGATGGTTCAATAGATAGTTAAATAACCGTCTAACAGTAAATAAACAGTTAAATAGATGTTTTTTGTTAGTTAGTTAGTTTGTTTGTTTTGTAATTACATCTTTTTAAAATTCATCATTTGCATAAATCTAAACCTAGAAATGCTTGCTTAGAAAATATCAAAATGCAGTACTTTGACAATTTTGAACAGTATTGTGGTAAAAGTGATTGTAATAGCTAATTGACATTGTTTCCTCCCTTGAATGGCTTTGGTTTCAGTAACTGACATTTCCTCAGTGGAAAAGATTTATTGGAAAATACTCAAGTGGATTGACCCAGTTTTCTACTGAAAAGTGGAAACAAAATTTGCCTTTTTTTTTTTTTTTTTTGGAAACAATAATTTTTCCATGATTTGAGTTTTGATTATAAAATTTTAGTTTTGAACATGAAATTTTACATTTAGAATTTTCTGGACTGCCAGACCTTACTCTTAAGAAATCAGTTATTCACATGGCCCTTTTGATGTCTGGTAAGTACAGGAAGAACATGAAAAAAAAAAAAAAAAAGAAAAAAAAAAAAAAAAGCCCATGAAGTGAAATCCAAGGAGGGAAAACGAAATAAAGTTTAAAATTATGTCCCTTTTCCCCTTTCAATTCACTTAGTCACCTGAGAGTAACAGATCACCCTGCAGAGAGGAGAAAATGCAGTTATCACTCTGCTATAGCACAGCATAGGCTAAAAAAAAGTATTGGCTTAACACGGAAACATGAATAACTTGCAGACTATCTGAGCAGGGCTGTAAGGACACGCCAGTGTATGCAGTAGCAGAAGTAAAGTTAAGAAAAAAAGAGTTCCCTTTGAAACTTTATAGGTCTTGTTGTAAACAGCTAGTGACAAATTTATTTTAAAAATTATTAAAAAAATATCCTGTCAGGAAGCTCTTAAGTCAGCCAGAATATTTTCCCCCAGATAGCACAGAGTTATCCATTTTGCTGTGTTTCTGCCCAACTGTGATCCTGTAAGAAATATCCTCAGTTGTTCAATAAATAATAATGCTACAGAATTTAAAATAAGAATCCAGATTATTAAAGTTACAAATCTTTGTGGTCTTTATATCTTTAATAAAACATTTATCTATTAATAATGGATATTGTTTCTACCCAACTCATGTTTTAAATGAAAAAAAAAATAAAAAAAGACCATTGGAAAGTTGCCAATATTTCTTCATCCTCCCCAGCCAAGGCTGACAAAAATGCAGTTACATTGATAAAGTGTTCATCATTTACAAAGGTTTAAAAATTTTAACAGCTCAACGTAAATTGAGGACTAGATGTTTAGCCTTGGAGGCATGCAACAGGAAAAAGTAATCTGGAGCGTCTGTAGAGATAAATGTTATAACTTCATAGCCTTTTGCACATAGTTAATGGAACAGCTTGGCTCATATGGAACACAATGCACACATCAATACAGTATTAAACTTTAATGTGCATCATACCAGGAGACCTCAGGGCAGTTGTACCTTTAATGTTTGTTAGCTGAAGTGATCCTAATAGAATAATAATGTATTATGAAGAGGTTGACAATAATTTCTAAATGGCAGGATAAATAACTAAATGTATGTGGTGCGTGCGTGTACGTATGTGTATGTACTTCTATATTTGTGCATGTACATCGGTGGGTTCATGAAACTGCGAATCTCAGGAAAGGTATGGGAATGAGGCAGAGAAGCTTGCAGCAGCATCCCTCTAAGATGTGGAGACAAGAATTTCCATCTCCCTGAAGTTGTGACTGCCTGGAGTTTTTCCTACTGGGACTCATTTTCAAGGGGACTCTGTTGAGACACTTGGAGACTTTGAAAATAAATAAATAAACAAACAATAAACAAACTGAAAGCCATCAATTCTGTATTCATGAGCACAAAGGCACTTACAGGACCTCCAAAAACACATGTCCCTGGTCAGTCCTTTCTGCATGTTGCCCATCTGCCACTTTGGCAGTGTCTCTGACATCAGTGGGGCATTTGCCTAAGGAAGGACCTCATCATGTTGCTCACGTAGTCGCACATGCAAAAGGGCAGTTTGGGGAAAACGTGGCAGTCATTTTTTGCACACATGTATGGATGACTTGAAATATTGAAAATGCCCCATTTATTGAACAGACAGGTAAACTCAAGTTATCAAACGTCTTTGTTCGGGCAACACAAATGTTATCAACAGCTGGGAACTGCACCAAGATCCTCTCACCTGTCTCCTCCAGTGGGCATCACTGTAGGGATTTCAGAGCAAAGCCATGCCTATTTAAATCAGCAGCAGCATCGGGCTGAATCCAGAGCTCACCAGTTCTCTGACGAAGCCAGTAAGGGAGCAGTAGAGATAGAGCACTGTGATGTTTAATGTGAAGATGTATTGCACCTTCAGGTTCTTCATCAATCATCCCTGGATCCCGTTATTTATGGGACGAAGATGTGATTGTTAATTAAACCTCCTCCAGGGCTCTTTTTTGACAGGAGTCACCACCTACACAGCCCCGGTGTGGAGGGAGGGCTCCACATGCCAATCTGGCTGGAGGTACCAGTGACACATCGTCATGTTATTCTTTACTTTTAATGAGTAAGATATGCCGCGAGTGACCTGCCCTTTCAGGCTGCAAGAGAACATTCATCCAACTGTCTACGGATGATAATTGCAGATGGTTATCAGTCCTGTACTCAAAATAGTTGTCAGACCCAATGAGAGCATTTTCTGTATGGTAGAAAGTGCCTGGTTTTCTCCTTCAAGAAAACGTGAATAGAGAAAATTTTGATATTATCTTTTCAGCAAAATATTCAACTATTGGTTTTGAAGTGCTATAAATATTTACAGTAAGATGGAACTTTTTTTTACCCACACAATAAAGATTTCAAAATCCGTGAGAGGAAGGAGGAGGAGACAGGTTTTCAATTTTTCAGTTTCGCAGCTGGAAAAATGACTTACATTGAATTTTAAAAACAAAAATCATTTTTTCTGCTCTGCCATGTACTCTTGCATCCCTTTCCCATCCTGATGCCTCCTGGGATGCTATGCACCAGGTGCTCACACCTGCAGTTTTGCACCTATTTCCCTGCACTGGCACTCCTGGCGGTAGTTTTGGCTGTGATGTTCTCCCTGAGCTCCTGGCCAAGCCTTGCACCCTCCACCTGCACCCGCCTGGCATGCCCCATCTTGGCAGCCCAAAATAGCTCTGCTGCAGGTGTGTGAAGGGTACAGTGCCAAGAGCAATTTGGGGAGCTGTGTGTCACCTCACACGGAGCAAAATGAACAGCTAAATGGATGTATTGAAGGTTAAATATCAGCCTAATCAACATCTGTTTGGGAATTGACAGGGTTGCCTCCCTGGGAAGGGAGGAGAGGAACATGCAAGGACAGTTATTATTTACTAGTTTTTTATTTCTTGAGGAGTTCTTAAACACTCAGCCAGCCTTTGCTGACCCCACTTGGCAAAGGCAATCACCTAAGACCTGAGGGTTCAGGCATGAAAGATGGGAATTATTTTGAACTCTATCCTACAAGTCATCTGTGTTGCCTGGCACTTTCTTCTGTATCCCTTATTTAAAACTTTCCAAAGCTGGCGTGGCTGCGAGCAGTCAGAGCATCCAGCAGCACTATGCCCATGGAGTGCAGCCTGCCTGATGGAGGGGCAGCAGGAGCTGCAGCTGTGCAGAAGGACAGACACCCCCAGTATGGCACTCCTGTGCACCAGTGGCCCCAGTGCAGCTCCTTCTGTCCATTTCCACTGCTGCTGCATTATTTACTGCGTTACTGTGTTTGGTTTCCCTGAAGTAATCTTATCAGTTACTGATTGATCAAAAATCATAACAGTGCGAATACCCTGGAGGAGCATGTCTGGAGGAGGAAACTGATAGATAATTTCTTATTTTGGTTTGCACCCAGCCAGTCAGCTGGCCACTCTGCACTGTTTCCTTTAGCTGTCCTTGAACCTTCCTCACAGGACTTCAGTTCCACTTATATCCAGAGAAGCATATATTTCATACCCATATCTCTGACAGCAAATGCTGCCTTACAGTTGTAGGAAGGAGGCAGAGGATGATGATGAAGGATGAGTTGTAAGGTCTGGAGATGAAACTGATTATAAGATTCAGGTTTGCAAGACAGGAGAAAATTCTGGTGACATCTAATGTTGCACTGCCTGGCAGCTGCTGGCTTTTTCACGGTATTTGTCTGCAAGGTAGAAATTACCATCTTCTGTGGCTCAGCACCTGGCGTGGTCCAGACACAACACAGTCTGGGATCTCTGAGGAATAATAATGAAATAGCGTTAATATCAAGCACTTTTTACTACAGCTTTGCAGATGATTTTGAGCACTTTTCACTGGTCTTGGGGACGCTCCATATAATCCCCAGTTACACCAAGAATGTGACCTGTGAAATCAGACTGAAGCAGGGGACCTTTACAGTGATAGCAGAATTTTTTAGATATGAAGCTTAAGCAGCTCAGTCATCAGGGCAACCCCATGTGCTTTAAATGTCTTCATCCAGGTGTTCATCATAATAAACCAAAGCTGCTGGAACTGGGCTGGAGTCATATGCAGTCCCAGCTGAGAAAGACATCATTAAGCTGCTGGGCCTCCCCAGAGACAGCATCACAGTGACAGCTAGGAAATGGTTAATAACTAATTATAATTTTTAACACTTTGGGGCTAAAATTAGAGTGAGGGGGTGGGCTTGTGGGTCTGTGCAAGGTATAAGGACACGCAGCAGTGAAGGAAAGTTGGTGGGATACAGAGCAGAAAGGTGGAGCCTGGGGGAGTTCCCAAGGTATTGCCCCCTGGGAAGGTGTTACCCACAGCTGGAAAGCATTTGTCTGTTTGCTGTGCACACACTGAATGAAATAGCAGAGTAGTACTATGGAGCAGAAATAAAGGGGATCTCTGAAAACAGAACTGGCATACTGAGGACTGTGCTGGGCCAAAAGCAATGTTCATTTCTGCATAAACATCACTGAAAAGGTAAGGATGGTAGTGCTTATCTGTGACTAAGATTAAAACACGCGACGACATGCTGCAATTGTTGCACAAACAAGCATTAGAAACTCAGGATTAAGGAGTTACGTTTAAAAATATGGAAAATCCAAAAACGTGTCACGCCCAGGTTATTAAGGACCAATAATGCTCCCTTGGATGGGAGACCCCATTTTGATTGAATCATGGGGATGTTTGATCTTACAGACTGAACTAAGAGGGTTTTAAAGAAGCAATAGTTAACTTTATTTCTGTCTTCACATTTCACTAGCTTACTCTATTTTTTAGTGGTAGGTGGACAGGGATATTACTGCTGTGAATGCAGTAAAAGAGAAACCCATGCATTTGGTTTTCATTCCTGGTCTTGAGTGTCTTGACTTTCCATTAGTAGCCTGGGGGACACTTACAGCAGCTCAGAAATCATTTTTACCTTGAAATGATCCTGTTTAAAATTAACATAGTTGTAACTAACTTTGAAAGGATTGCAATGTAAGTACAGTGCAAGAAACAAAACCAGTGTGTGCCTATAAGAATATGATGCTATGTTGTTATTAAATTTTCTTAAATTAAATTTGCCCTTAAAAAACAGAAAAGAAAAAAAAAAGCTTCTTGACTGCTCTCTAGCTGTTTTACTCTGCTATGGAGCAACAGAGAAAAGCTAGAGCAAACAAACCAGCTATTGTACATAAACACGCAAACACACATTTCCCTGTTGAGTTTTTCTTGTTGAATAGTTTTGGTTCACTGGGTAGTTCCCTAAGATGTATTTGTTTTCTCATTTTTTACTATTGGTTTTCATAACTGATGTTTTGTCAGTTGGCAGAAGCTTTACAGAGAATATACTACAACCAAACATCCTCTTGCAAAACCCTGGGGTCAGCCCTGGGCAAGATCCATTCCCCCTCCCCAGCTCACTGCTCCCCAGGGCTCCTGGTAACAGATAGAGCTCATCACTGATCTGCTTTGCTGGATGCTGATCATTCTAGGGATAAAGAGTAATGCTGAAAAATATTATAATGTTAGAAACAAAAGGCAAAAAGTAGGTATACAGTAGTGGTGAGATTTTTCATGAAGGACAATTGAGGAAGCACCACTGAGAGGCTGTTACTGTTTCTTCAGGTCCCCAGCAGGGTTAGCATAGGATGCTGAATGCGTATTTAGGAATTAGCGACAGAATTGTAAATTCTCAGAAAGTGCAGCTGTGTTACCAGGAGGTGAGGGTTAACTTGGGAGAGGACATCCTTATCCTCTGCAGAATGAACTCATCCTTGATTGTGGAGCAGAGGAGCACTTCTGAGTGTGTCAGAGAGAAAAGTGAGGAAGCAGGACCAAGCTCCTGGGAGAGCGAGGTGAAGTCTGGGCTCTCTGTTCAGGTGCAGCATGGAGCAGGATGCCTGCAACTTTCCTGTGTGAGTGGGCAGAAGCTGCAGGGTGCTGGGGTGGAAAACAGCTCTAAAGCACATAAGAGGGATGGTTGTCTGCATGCAGGTTTGTAGTTTTTGTGTTGTTTTTTTGGTTGGTTGGTTGTGGGTTTTTTTTGTTTGTTTGTTTGTTTTTTGGTTGGCTTGGTTTTGTGCATTTTGTGGTTGCCCCGTCCTTCGAGATGTTCAAGACCAGGTTGGATGTGGCCCTGGGCAACCTGATCTAGTGGGTAGTGTCCCTGACACCCACTGTCTGGTTGGATGAGTGGGTCTAGAGTAGATGTTCCCAAACTGCAGATCACCAGAGGTCTGTGAGATTGACCAGCAGGATGCGGAAACAATAAATTTATTATTCTTTCTTCTGTGAATGCGTGAGGATGAAGAGGTACATGGTGTCTGCAAACAGCCTTGAGGGCTGCCTGCAGCTGCCCTCCCCTTCTGTTGCCTGCCCTGCTCCGAGGGTCCTGCTGGGTCCCCTCCCTTCCCTTCTGCACAGAACATTTCCCTCCTTGTCCCTGTCGCTGCACACCCTGTCACAACACCCAGCCTTGGCTCGGGGACCTCAGTGTAACTGGGACACTTGTTGTTTATCTGCTGGACTAGAAGCCAGATGTCAAGGATTTCCCATCTGATCCAAGTTCATGGGAAGGTTTTGGGGTGGGAAAGTAATGTACAAGGACTGACCGACAACACATCCCCTCCACACACACACACACTCTCTGGCCATCCATACTCGCTATCCCACACCTCCATGAGCTGCTGCTGATCTATCAGGGAAATGCACTGAGCGGTAGCAACTTTCCCAGGGTCTGTGGGCAGGGTGGGCCAAAGAAACCTTCTGTAACCCTCCCATCTTCTATTGCTCTAACTTTTCTTTCTTTTCCCTCTCTTCTTTCTCTCCTGACCCCTTCCTTGTGAGTGGGTCAGGGTTTCAGCAGCTATTCCAGCAGCTTGTTTGGGTCAGCTGCATGCTCTGCCCAGTTCCTACACATGGGTAGCTCACCGTAATTTGGTATTGCAGTCATGACCCAGCTCTAATGCTGAGTTCTAGGAATCAAACTTTGCCCAATAAACAGAATCAATAAGCTTCCCTGTGCATGTTCTTGCTGCTGTTAACAAAACCATCACATAGGCTGTTCTCCAAATACCTTCTCAGATATTGCTCTTAAGATATCAGCTGCAAAATGTTTGAAATGAGCACAAAGAGGCCTTTTGTGGAGCTACTAGTTCGTGCCTTTTACCTCTCCAGGTTGGCTGGAGATGCTGTACACCTCTCTGCTTTGCCCAGAGCTCCTGGGAGACCTTGGGGGGAGCAATGCATGTAGCTTGTAGGTAAGCAGGCTGCTGCTGCTGCACTGGCTGCATTAGAAATTCATAAGCAGAGGAAGAACAAGGAATAGGGCCAGTGAGAGGAGAGGTTATGGGGTACCTTGGCGCCTGGTGCAGGAAAATAAGGGTCTGGGCAGAGTGTGGAGGGGCAGGTCGGGATCAGTCTGTCTGTCACCTCTACATGCTGACATATTCAGAACTGAGTGAGTGTGTTCCATGTGTCTGCTTCCAGAAAAAATGAAAGCTTCAGCTTCTCAAACGCAGATTTTCTGTAGATGAAAAACTTTGATAGTGCTCAGATTGAAAAAGTATCTTAGCATAAGAATAATTCTAGAGGAGAAACGAAGGGCTAGTTTACATTGCATGCTGCAGGTTTTGTTTTGTTTTGGTTTTTTTTAAAGACTGATAGAGGATGTCATCAAAAAAGGGGAAATACTTCTAAAAAGCCGATAGTTTTTCATAAAATCTTTCCTGTTCTCCTATAGGTCATTATTCAGCCAAAGGATTCTTTTTCTTGTCTTAGTCTTGAAAAATGTTAAGCGCTGCATCCCAAGGCTGTGCTGGGGAGGCTGGAAGAGAAGGGGAGTGTTTGCTGATGGGGCTCACAGCCACCACAGCTTTTCACCGGGATGACTTTCTGGTTATTTCTTGCTCTCAGTCCTCACCTTTGAGTTTAGTTCTGCCTCTGAATTTCTCAGTGCTACTCCTAGCAGCAGTAGTTGCTCCGGCTCCTGCAACATTTCACCTTGGTGGAGGACTTTGCCTGTCTCTGTGTGTGTGTTTTTGTTGTTGTTGTTTGTTTGTTCATTGTGTGGTGGCTTTTTTTTTTTTTTTTTCCACAGACATGGATTCATGCTCCAGTAGGTCAAGTCTGGATGACGGGATGAACAAATGGGTCCCAGACATCCAGAACAGAGAGGTAAGCTTATGCCAGGTATCCACCTCCCTGCCCCTAAAAGGACCTGTAACAAAAAGCATTTCCAAAAAAAAAAAGTGTCTGCTGCTCCTTACATGCCTGCTGACAGGACCAAGGGAGTGCTTCCTGTTTTGTGCTGCATTTGCTGTCTCCATTTATTGCCCTCATAACTGCTGTCACCCTTCAGAGTTGAGCTGTCTTCTTGCCAAACCTCTGAAAAATGGGTTTTTGTATGGTGCCTCTATGTTTACTACAATGTTTACCTCTAACCTGAGCCAAGTGTGGTGCTCTTTTAAATCTGGCCATCCAGAGAGATCTTCAGTGAAGAGAGGAATCATCTCACTACAGAAACTGTGGTTGGAAATGAAGTTATTTTTCTAATAGGCCAAAAATATACATCAAAATGTTGCAGAAAAGACCCAACAACTGCAGTGTAAAGGGACTTGGCAGGATCTATCGACTCAGTTGTTTGCCACCTGATTTATTGCCAGCGTGGGTTTGGTTGTTAGAATGAAAGACCTGTAGCCAAAGCTCTGTTTAACCCTACAGTCCCAAACAAGAGGGGAAGAGCAGGGCAGGCTCCTGTCCTGCCTGCTGCCACACACCCAGGAGGCCTGGGGACAGAGGAGGGGAAGGATCAGCCTCCAAGGAAATCCTGGCTTTGCAACCTCCAGCTTCACTTCCTCTGGGCTTCCTTGAGATGCCTGTTGGACAGGGTGATTAGAAGTGCCTTCAGCGTTGGTAGCCTTTTGTAAGGTAGAAAACAGACACAGTGTAAAAAAAGGACCTGACCAAAGGGCTCTGTGCACGTTTATTTACACAAGCACATGCACACACATTTGTGTGCACACACAAATGCACACACATCTTTGCAGTGTCACACACACGATTTGTGAACTATTTTCACCTGAAAATGTCATTGAGATTGCAGGAATGACGGTTTTCTTTCCCGGCACACTGCACCTCTGTGCTTTCTGTGTGGAGATCAGGCTGTCCCTCCGCCACCAGCCTGCCCCAGGGTGATGCCGATGCCCCAGCAGCAGGCCTCCCACCCAGCCATCCTGCAGTCCCACCGGGCTCCGTGCAGGTGAACTCCTGCCCTCACCCTCCCAGCCTGTCCCTCCTGAGGAGCTGAGCACACCCGTGGCAGCACATCAGCAGTGTCAGCAACCCCAGCATGTCCCCCCAGTCCCAATGTGGCCATGGCTCTGCAGCTGTGCAGACCCCAGGCCCCCCCTGACAGGGATGGACTGGGAGGGAAGGAGTTAGGCTCCTTTTGCAAGGTGTGAGGTTCATTACTCAAAGCCCCTTCCACCAGCTAGCTGTTCCTTAGCTCAGGTCTCAGCTGTCACTCAGCGTGTCCATGCAGCATGCTTCACAGCTGGCATCCCCAGATGAAGAACCTTTCTCTGCCACACAACCAGATCATCCCCTTGTCCTTCCTTATCCCTGCTGGCTCCTGGAGCCTGTCAGCCTCTGCTCTCCTTGTGCTGAGTGACATTCTTTACTCCGGCTTTACACTAGCAGAAGGAAGCAGGGACAGTTTTCCAGCTCTCAGGTAGGAAGCTACTGTCAAACTCTACCATTTCTAATTGCTTTGCCTCCTGGACAGCCACATTTCTCCTGACACCTGCATCTTCGTGCAAATACGGTCTGAGAGGACCAGGATCAGACTTCTTCTTTCTGTCATGTATTCACCAGGCCCTTGCTTACCGGTATCGGCTTCCTCCTCTCAGCTAGTTAGTGTCTTGTGTGTCTTCAGAATTAATGACTAGACAAACGTGTCCCGAGCACGATAGGTACCGACTTATTCCTGGCATTTTGCAAGGATTTTGTGACACATCAGTACAAGCAGAGAATGCAAGATCTCCCTCCTTTCAGACAGGGTGAGACATATTTGGCACACTTAATTTTGGGGAATTCTGTCACTGATCTTTTTAGTAGTACTCCTGAGTTTCCTGAGAGATGTCTTATAGATTGTGTATATGAAAAGGGGGATCTCTGGATCCAGTGGGAGCCACAGTCCACAGCATGACTGCTTGGGACAGCTGAACTGGATGACCCTGGTGGCTCTTTCTGGAGCTGTCACTCTCTGTATCTGTTTGCTTAGTCTTTATATTTTTGGATCTTCTTTTTATTTGCATTAGTCAAGACTAAAAGGATTGACAAGCAGGGCCTTGTGGTGGAAAAGCTTAAGTCAATCTAACTGTGATGGCGGCGATGCCTCTGTCAAGTAAATGTGAATGCCAGAGAACATTGTCTTTCTCCCTGACACTACTTATTTGGACTAAGCCAAAAATATCCATGAGCCATGTACATGTTTCATAGTGGTGTTTCCTTTATATTGATCAGTTAGCTTTAGAAATTGCTGTGACAATGCTGACATGTTTGACGGGCTGAGCAAAATGAGATGGTTTGAGGTCTCACTTTATCAAAGACCTCAAACTTTGTGACAGGCATGTGAAAAATGAGAAAAAAAAATCCACCAAACCCATCCAAGTTGATCTTTGGGTTAAAGGTTTAGTTCATTCCTGAGCATAGGGTGATGGTTTCCACTCATTGCTACTCTCTGCCAGTGCCTATTTTTTTTCCTACTAAGTAAATCTGAGCAACTTTCTAGAGCATAAAGGATAGGCTAGAGCCTGAATTTAGGGTGTAAGCACCTGTGAGCTTTAGAAAAGAAAGGCTGAAAACTAGACTAATCCTCAAGCAGGCTCAACCTCAGGTTTGAACCTCTAAGTGGAACAGCAGGATGCACATCAAATTGCAGGGCTGCGTTACCATGCTACAGTGATGGCACTGCTTGATTCCATTTTAATGGAGCTGAACAAAATGGCAAGTGTTTCTCTTAAGAAATCCTCAGTAGCTATATTTGGGGGAGAGTGAGTGATTTGAATCCGCTTTGTTTGTTCAGAACTTCCTCTTTCTGCTTCCCATTTCTAATGTGCTTAGAATCAATTTCCTATAGAGTGAAGTGCATGTGGATACCGAAGTCTGTATTTGACAAGTTTGTCTGCAGTATTCGACCTAGATTTTTCCAGAGACTTAGCTATACACATGCATGTACAAAATCTAAATTCAGCCAAGCGCCTAGTTTGCATGAATGGTTGTGCTGGTAAATCAGATAACCAGTAATGTAAATGGACAGCCACTTCTTTTGCATGCAATTCCTGATCAGTCCATAGCAGTACAGAAAGTATACTTGCAAATTGGACATGCAGTTGAACATGTTTTTTCTTGTTTGTTTGTTTTTTCTTATCCAGAACTAAATTCTTTTGGAAAGTATTAGCCCTGCACACTAATTTGTCAGAGATCAGAATCTAAATTGATCCCAGGAAATATGCACACACAGCCAAAAACAGAAAAATGGTTGTAGATACATACATATGCATCTATTTCTATTTTGCATGTACAGTTAACTCTAAATGCATACATATTTCAGAACAGTATCTCAGATGCTATCTTTTCAATTAGGCTGGTGGCCTTATGGAATACTTCCAGTTCCAATAAAATGCTAGGCAGGGAAAAAGAAAAGTTGTAGCTAGGGAATATATATAAAACTTTTAAAGCCTTGTAGGAGTCTGCAGGCAGAAGTCCGTGCCCCTAGGAGTCACCTGCATAGAGAGAGATCCCCAGTGTGCAAACTTTACAAGAGCTGACATGAATGTGTGTCTAAGTTAGAGAGATGTCAGTCTGGCTTTCAAGCACTGTCACAGCTGCTAAGTTACAGGCTGGACAGACTTCTGCTTTGTTCCAGATGACTGCACTGAACTGCAGATCCCTGTGTGTTAACCATTAGTGGGCTCTGTCCAGACAAGCCAAAGACATCACCAAGAAATTGGGTGGCAAGCTATTTAATCTGACAGAGAACAAAAAGGTCTTCTTTATGGTAAGCACTTATTCAAATGGCTCCAATTCTAAACACTTACAGGCTTTTGTTGGCAGACAGCTGTCACATACAACACGTTATCCCTGACTTCTTACAACAGGCAGAGTACTGCAGGCATGAACACTGCACTGCTATCAATGAGCATTGTTGACTTTATCATATTCTGGACCTTTCCAAAACTTTGGAGAACCATTTTCTTACTGTCAAATGAGTTGTTAAATTAATAGTTAATAATTGCAGCAGCAAAAAGTTCTGTGTTTCTGGTGTCCTGATCAAGATCTCTTTACATGCCCTCTTTCCCTAGCACCAAAGAGGAAAATGTGGTCTGAGTCTGGGTCACAAAGAGCAGGTTTGTGACCCTTTGATATCCAGAGTGGTGCTTGCTTGGTTGTTTGGGGAGGATGGCTCTTGGAGGAACCACTTCCCCTGGTCTCATGCCACCCTCCACTTGCATTCCACACCTGGCTGCTGACATGAGCGTCTTCACACTCTGCTCAGACTTAAAATATCCATTAAAAGCATGACTTGTTATTCTCATAGTTATGAAACAGTAGAAATTAAATCCATCAGAAGTTCAAATTAAGGCTGTTTGTACTGGACACTGACAGGTCTCAGACAGGGGTCTGCTATTCTTATGTCATACCTTATAGAAATAAGCGATAGAAAAACAGCTCCTGCCCCAGCGAACAGGAAGACGCTACAGAGAGATGAGCAGAAACACGAGTTAGAACTTCTGACAGCAAAGTGCTGCAGTAGGAGGTTATTTTAGAACTTGCTGCCTCAAGGGAGTTTGGACTTTCTTGCCTTGCAGTCAGCTAAAGATGTTGATGCCAATTTAGTAAGAATTAAACATATTTTCTCAACTTCAGGCATTTCTCTTAAGTTGCCGTAAGATTTCTTTTTTCCCTTCAACTTTCTCTGGGCTCATGGCTTTTGATACAGCATAAAAACAGAAGGTTCAAATCAAACTTACAAACATAGCTGTCAGTCAGCTCCCCTTGGCAAAAGCTGTATTAATTTATACTGAAATGTCTCAGCTAGTGATCAAAATTTTTCCTGCATTGCCATGGCAATGCAAGGGGAACTGAATTCCAGTAAGATGAAATACCTCATCTTATACCAGTCATTATCATTGACATTGTGAAAACATACAGCACTGACAACAATTAAGTGTGTAGCAGTGCAGAGCAGTGTACCTGCCTCTCCTGAAGAGCACAGGAAATTTATTCCCATCTCACATCCTACAATGGATTTGCTTCTCTTTGTGATAGTTGGTGACTTGTAGAATCCTCAGCTCTCAGAGCTGCTTTTTTTGCCCCCCTACATCTTACCTTTTCTGAGCAAAAACCTGTTTGTGGCAGTGGTGGTTGTAGAGTAAATGCAGCAAGGGTACACACAGAAAGAGTATTTGGTCCTTCTCTCCTATGTTACCTCTTTCCTTCGCGTTGTCCAAGGGAACTCCATGCCTCTTCACATGCTCTTGTTGCTATTCATTGCTTTTCCAGAATCTCTGAATTCCTGCTGGGCCCCTTGGTTAGCTGTGGGCTGGGCAGGAGGCAGGGAGTGCTGCTTGGTGGCCACACAGCATGCTTTGGAGGCAAATATTTTTCCAGGCTGTGCTCTTTCTAGGTCTCTTTTGAAAACTCAACAGAAGTATTCAATTAGAAAAACACTAAGAATAAATGTGGTGTTTGGTTTTGTTTGTTTGTTTTTCCCCTAGCAACCCCAAAAGTTTGGATACATTTTTTCCAGTGTTTCTTTTTCATAGAATCATAAAATGTCTTGGGTTGGGAGGGACCTTAAAGCCCATCCAGTTCCAACCCCTTGCGATGGGCAGGGACACCACCCACTGCATCAGGTTGCCCAGGGTCTCATCCAACCTTGCCTTGAACACCCCCAGGGATGGGGCACCCACAGCCTCTGTGGGCAACCTGTTCCAGCACCTCAGCACCATCTAAGTGAAGAATTTCCTCCTAACATCTAAGCAAAATCTCCCCTCTTTCTGTTTAAAGCCATTCCCCCTCCTCCTGTCAATATCTGACCGAGCAAAATGTCGCTCTCCATTGTTTTTTTAAGCCTCCTTCAAGTACTGACAAGCTGCACTGAGGTCCCCCCGGAGCCTTCTCCTCTCCAGGCTGACCAGCCCCAGCTCTCTCAGCCTTCCTGCCCAGGAGAGGTGCTCCAGCCCTCTGGGCATCTTCATGGCCTCCTCTGGCCCTGCTCCAACAGCCCCACATCCTCCTGGTGCTGGGGGCCCAGAGCTGGACGCAGGGCTCCAGGTGGGGCCTCAGGAGGGCAGAGCAGAGGGGCACGATCCCCTCCTCCCCTGCTGCCCACCCCTCTGCTGATGCAGCCCAGGATGCAGTTGCCCTTCTGGGCTGCAGGCACGCACTGCATGCACACACTGCTGGCTCGTGTTGAGCTTTTCATCCTCCAGAACCCCTAAGTCCTCCTCTGCAGGGCTGCTCTCAGTGAGTTCTTCTCCCCATCTGTGCTCATGCCCGGGATTGCCCCAATACAGGTGCCACACCTTACATTTAGACTTGTTGAACCTCATTTGGTTCATGTGGGCCCAATTTTGTACCAAGCCTGTAGGTTTTTGGCAAACCTACAAGCTCTAATCCTTTTGCAGGTACTGGCAATCATTAGCAAAGCTTGACACTAGCATTTATATGCACCATTGTAGAGATGGATGGCCTCCAAATACATGTACCATTCAATCCTTTAACTTGTCAAAGCAGAGGCCAAGACTCTGGGAACAAAACAAAAAGCAAGTCTTGCTCTGCCTTCCTCTAGCAGATGAAGTCCAGCCAGAGGGGATGGCATGCTCTCAGCTACAGACTCTGATCACTCTTATTTACAGATGTTTCAGATTTTTCCCCCTCTTTCTTAAACCTTAAAGCACTTGTTTAAGAAAATAAACAAAAACCACTCACGCTGCTATTTACACCTCTTTGCAAGCCCAAACCAGTGTTTCAGACAAGGACAAGTTCTTATGGCAGAACTGACAAGAGATGCAAGGAAGTGAATTTATTTCCCATTGTGGGGTTTCCTAACAACCTGATCCTTCTGTATACAATCTAAGAGTTCGTGGCAAATTTCCTTTAGACATCTGTGTGCACGACTTTCTTATGGCACTCAAAAAAGAAATTTCCCATCTGTATTATTTTATTTGAAAGAAAAAAGATGCAATACAGAAAAAGATCCTGCCTAATCCTATCTTGTAACTGGATTTTCTTTCAGAGCAAATGACACTGATCAGATGACATAGCATGGAAAAAAAAAAAAAAAAAAAAAAGAGCAGGCTGAATTCTAGGGCTATGTTTCCCCAGAAATCAAAGCTTGTGGTGTTTTCAAACCTGTCTCCACTGAATTCCATTAAGACTGCTGCATAACCCCTTGGTCCCTTTATAACTTGCACATTGTTACTGCTT